GGTATAGAAGTCACATGTAAATAAATAAAAAATAAATAAAAGAGTTATTAAGCCACTCTGAGACTCCTCTGGGTAGTGAAGGCGGGGTACAAATCCAATCTCCTCCTCCGCCTCCTCTTCTTAGAGAGCCAGTTTGGTGCAGTGGTTAAGTTCGTGGACTCTCATCTGGGAGCACCGGGTCTGATTCTCCACTTGCACCTGGCTGGATGACTTTGGGCAAGCCGTAGTTCTGATAAGGGCTGTTCTTGAAAAAGAGCCGTTTCTGTCAGAGCTCTCTCAGCCCCACCTACCTCACAGGATGTCTGTTGTGGGGAGGGGAAGGGAGAGGAGACTGTAAGCCACTCTGAGACTCCCTTGGGTAGTGAAGGGCGGGGGATAAATCCAATCTCCTCCTCCGCCTCCTCTTCTTAGAGAGCCAGTTTGGTGTGGTGGTTAAGTATGCGGACTCTAATCTGGGAGCACCAGGTTTGATTCCCCACTCCTCCACTGGCACCTGGCTGGATGCATTTGGGCAAGCCGTAGTTCTGATAAGGGCTGTCCTTGAAAAAAGAGCCGTTTCTGTCAGAGCTCTCTCAGCCGGGTGTCTTTTGTGGGAAGGGGAAGGGAAAGGAGTTTGTGAGCCGCTCTGAGACACCTTTGGGTAGTGAAGGGCGGGGTATGAATTCAATCTCTTCCTCTTCTTCTTCTAACCCAAGAACAGAGCGGTGCTTTTGAGGAGTCCAGCCCTGTCTCTGCTAAACAAGTGGTCAGCGGTGCTTTGGAGGGACACAGGATGCCTCAAAGGAAGGCAAATGCCCCAGAGGTCCTGCCAGAGAGGGACTCAGCTTCACCCCAAGGCTGACTTGATCGGGAGGGGAAGGGAAAGGAGTTTGTGAGCCGCTCTGAGACACCTTTGGGTAGTGAAGGGCCATGGGGTATGAATCCAATCTCTTCTTCTTCTTCTTCTTCTTCTTCTTCTTCTTCTTCTTCTAAATGTGGAGACTCCCTTTAGCAATCATAGCCAGTTAGTGGACTTCCCTGAACAGAGTTTGGTGGGGACTTGGAGTGGGTTTGGCTGAAGGAAGATGTGGTGGGAGGGGGGGCTTTGGGTTGCCAGGTTCCTTGAGAGAGAGAAACGCCTCGACCCTTTAATGGAGTTTTAGTGGGATTTGATTTACCTCTCTGCCAAGAAGTGTTTCACTTGGCCCTTTCCACTGCAAAAGGGACACGACAGGACTGTTGGCACTCCAGGACTGTTGGCACCCCACCATAGCAGGTGACTTGGACTTGTAGCACACCCCAGAGTTTTGGAAGCAATGGACCACCCCCAAAGAAACAGCATGTTCTCCAAAAAAGGTGTCCCAGGATCTCTGAACTCCTAACAGGAGGCACATGAACCTGCCTGGTATTGTCTACTCAGACTGGCAGCAGCTCTCCGGGGTCTCGGGCTGAGGTCTTTCCCCTCACCTCCTGCGTTGTCCTTTTTAACTGGAGATGCCGGGGATTGAACCGGGGACCTTCTGCATGCCAAGCAGAGGCTCTGCCACTGAGCCACGGCCCCTCTTTACAGCTCTCCAGGGTCTCAGGCATGAGGTCTTTCCCATCACCTCCTGCCTGGTCCTTTTTAACTGGAGATGCCGGGGACTGAACCAGGGACCTTCTGCATGCCAGGCAGAGGCTCTCAGTCTTAACCACAACACCAGACTGGCTCTCAAGACCAAAGCTCCCTCTAAGCTGTGGAGCCTTGTGAGCAAAAATTCTGCTTTGTGAGCGACTGGCATTAAAGCTGTGAGCGAGCGATTTGGCTGCTGCAGGAATTGGTTTGCTCTGGAGCTCTCCTTCCCAAGCGAAGACAAAAATCTGTGATCCGGAGGCTAAAAAAAACCCCTGTGAGCTAACTCACACTAACTCAGCTTGAAGGGTACACTGACCAAGACCCATTTCTGCTTTTGCCGGAGCGGACGACCACGCCTGTCCCTCCTGCCTGCTTTCCAGCCGGGCTTCTCCATGCTGAATGGGACCTCGAGTTCCGGCAGTTTGCGCCAGGTGAGAGAGAAAAGAGCCCTTCCCCCCTTCCAGGCAGCGAAGAAACCTCTCCGTTTCCCCTCTGCTGCATCTGATCCGCTGCCCGGATCCGCCTCTGGTTTTTGCTCGGACCCTTCCAGAGGTGGCTCCAGCCGCAGCATCTCCCCCTGGTGCTTTTTGAGTGGGGGGGGGGAGAGACCGGAGCCCAGAAGCAGGGAAGGCCCCGCTTAGCTTGGACTTCTCTGAGATACCAGCTTGAGAAAAGGCGACCTTGTGAGCTTCCCTGCTCCAGTGTAGACCAGAAACACACACACACACACACACACACACACCGGCAGAGGCGCACACATCTGGCTAGACTCGAGCTCCCCTCGTGGATGCTTCCAAGATTGGCTCCTCGACCCTACTTTTCGCTTGCAGACTTTCCCAGGTTGGAGAAGAGCTTGGGTTCCCAATGACCCGGGTGGCCGTGCGGCTCCAGGGTCATGCCAGGGTGGTGGCAGCTGTACCTGGCCCACTGGGCGGCCCTGACCCTCCAGGGCGTGGGGCAGAGCATCCCCGGAGAGGACGACGCGGAGTTGAACTATTATGGGGAGAACGGTGAGTGAGCGTGGCGAGAAGGCGGGTGGGTGGGTGCAGTGCTCCCTCTAAGCTGAGCTAGGGTGAGCCAGCTCGCAGTTTCTTAGCCTCCGGCTCGCGCATTTTTCTCTTCGCTCAGGAAGGGATGGCTCCCCAGCAGACTAATTGATGCCGGAGCCCAATCGCTCGCTCACGATTTTAATGCCAGGAGCTCACCAAGTAGGATTTTTGCTCACAAGACTCCACAGCTTAGAGGGAGCATTGAGACCAGTGTTCCCTCTAAGCTGAGTGAGTGTGAGCCAGCTCACCGTTTTTTAGCCTCTGGCTTACGCATTTTTGTCTTCGCTCAGGAAGGAGGGCTCCAGAGCAGAGTGAAGCCAAATCGCTGGCTCACGACTTTAATGCCAGGAACTCACCAAGAAGGATTTTTGCTCACAAGACTCCACAGCTTAGAGGGAGCATTGATGGGCGCATCTCTTTCAGGGTGTGGGACGAGGGACGGTGGGGTTGGCGGGAGGGAGGGGAGAGGAGCGAACTAGGCATGCTTTGGTTGGTTGGGGGGGAGCCTATGCAGACCTCTGGGTAGGACAGAGCTCTTCTGTGGGCATAACAGGAATGTAGGGTTGCCAACTCCAGCTTGGGAAATTCCCGGAGATCTGGGGGGTGGAGCCTGGGGAGGGCAGGGTTTGGAGAGGGGAGGGACCTCAGCCCACCAACGCTCCCTCTAAGCTGCAGAGTCTTGTGAGCAGTGTTCCCTCTAAGCCGAGTTAGTGTGAGCCAGCTCGCAGTTTTCTAACCTCCGGCTCACGCATGCTTGCCTTCGCTCAGGAAGGAGGGCTCCGGAGCAGACTCATTGATGCAGCAGCCCAATGGCTCGCTCACCACTTTCATGCCAGGAGCTCGCAAAGCAGAATTTTGGCTCACAGGACTCCGCGGCTTAGAGGGAGCCTTGCTTGTGAGCAAAAATCCCACTTGGGGAGCTCCTGGCATGAAAGTTGTGAGCAAGCGATTGGGCTGCTGCATAAATGAGTCTGTTCCGGAGCCCTCCTTCCTGAGCGAAGGCAAAAATGGGTGAGCCGGAGGCTGGAGAACTGTGAGCTAGCTAGCTCGCGCCAACTCAGCTTTGAGGGAGCACTGGAGCCCACCCTCCAAAGCAGCCCTTTCCCACCAGGGAAGCTGATCTCTGCTGACCCCACAGGGTTTTCAAGGCAAGGGACAAACAGAGGTGGTTTCCCATTAGACCAGGGTAGCCTGGGCCCTTCAGGTCTGGGGGAAAGACGTACAGAGAGGTGGAGAAGGGGTCTGCCCTTGCCTGCCTCTGCGGAGAGACCCTCGACTTCCTTGGTGGCCTCCCACCCAAGTACTAACCAAGGCTGACCCTGCTAACTTTCCCCCATGTGATCAGATGGGGCTAGTCCAGGCCATCTGGGTCAGTTTTGTTCTCCCCGAATGCAGAAAGCCAGACTTCCAGGGTTGTGACCGATGCTCCCTCTGAGCTGTGGAGTCCTGTGAGCAAAAATTCTGCTTTGCGAGCTCCTGGCATTTAAGTTGTGAGCGAGCCGTTGGGCGGCTGCCTGAATCAGTTTGCTCTGGAGCCATCCCTTCCTGAGCCGAGACGAAAAGGTGTGAGCCGGAGGCTAGAAAACGGTGAGCTTGCTCACACTGACTCAGCTTAGAGGGAGCACGGGTTGTGATCAGTTCCACACAACTTCCTTCCATCGGTGTAAAAATGTGCAGCCTTTCGCAGTAACACGAGCCTCTTCGACAGCAGGAAACACCAATCGGTGCTGAGGACTCTTCCAAAAGATGCTGAGTAAGTGGCAGATGCAACATGTAAGGCCGGGAGGAAGAAATGTTGAACTAGGGCAGTGGTGGCGAACCTATGGCACGGGGGCCGGAGGTGGCACTAGAGCCCTCTCTGTGGGCACGCATGCCATCGCCCCAGCCAGGCCCAGACCATCATTAAAGTGTCGAATTCTCTGCCAAATAATTTTAAGTCAATGAAAGCATTTGGGATTGCTTTCCTTACTTTGTTTGGATCATCTTAAGTTAATGTGTGAGTTGTTTTTTCTAAAGTAAAACCTCAGTATTCAGGTTAGATTGCCATGTTGGCACTTTGCGATAAATAAGTGGGTTTTGGGTCGCAGTTAGGGCACTCGGTCTCTAAAAGGTTCGCCATCACTGAACTAGGGTCTCAAAGATCCAGGTTCGAATCCCCTCTCATGCCATGGAAACTCACTGGGTGACCTCGGGGCAGTTAACGCTCAGCCTGACCTGCCTCACAGGGTTGTTGTGAAAATAAAACACAGGAGAGGAGAAGGATGGAAGCAGCTTTGAGTTCCCTCTGGGGGGAAAGGGGAAGTATAAATAAATTAAGCAAACAAATAAATAAGAAAGGCCGTCAATGCAGAGTTTACCGGCTTTTGCAAAGAGCAGAGAGGACGCTCTCCCTCGCGTCACGACTCCACCCATGAAGGCACAGCCCTGGGAAAGCGAAGTCTTTCAAGATCCTTTAATGGCTTCACAGTGAGGGGAGGACTAACAGACATGCTCAAAAGCACGCAATGTCGCTTCTCTGCATGCTTCAGCATCCTGTAGCCAGCGGTGAAACTTCCCCTGTACCCGGAGGTTCCATTTCCCTAATCCGTGGAGGTTGGGGCCAATGTTCCCTCCAAGCTGTGGAGTCTTGTGAGCAAAAATTCTGCTTTGTGAGCTGCTGGCAATAAAGTTGTCAGCGAGCGATTTGGCTGCTGCATAAGTCAGTTTGCTCTGGAGCATTCCTTCCTGAGCTGAGACAAAAATGTGTGAGCCGGAGGCTAACAAACTGTGAGCCAGCTCACACTAACTCAGCTTAGAGGGAACACTTGTTGGGGCTGATTCTCTTTCCTAGAAGCCAGCCAGTCAGTTTGGGACAAACTAGACATTAGCAGGGAAAGACGAGATCCCAAACCTTGCTTTTCCATCACAGCTGTGTGTAAAGTACTGGGTTCGCCGCATGGAGGACTCGGACAACGACATGCGTTCACACACGTTTATTGTACTTCACACAGGAACTACTGAACGGCCCTGCGAGGCCAACTATATACACGCCCACCCAGCACACCCACAGTCCCCTTGGAGGGTTTGAATTTCCCGCCAAAGTTGCCATTGGTGAATGCTGGGGGAACTAGGGTCCTAGGTTCCTATTGTTCAGAGGAGCTAAGCTCCTGACTGTAGCCACGGACCCCTGGTGGTGGTCTGCGTACATAACACTGTGGTTCCTAACCTCCATCCAGTCCAACACTCTGTCACACCAAGAATACAGAGCATCCCTTGCCCCAGACAGAGAGTTTCACTTATAAGAACATAAGAGAACCCAGGGTTGGATCAGGCCAATGGCCCATCCAGTCCACCACTCCGTGTCACACAGTGGCCGAAAATACCAGGTGCCATCAGGAGGTCCAGCAGTGGGGCCAGGACACTAGAAGCCCTCCCACTGTTGCCCCCCCCTCCAAGCACCAAGTCAGATCTAACATTAAGAACATCAGAAGAGCCCTTCTGGATCAGACCAGTGAGGGTCCCTCTAGTCCAGCATCCCGTCTCACACAGTGGCCAAGCAGTTCCTCTGGACAGCCAACGACAGGGCAGAGAGGCCGGGGCCTTCATAAGAACGTCAGAAGAGCCCTCCTGGATCCCAATAGTCCATCTAGTCCAGCATCGTGCCCCACACAGCGGCCAACCAGTCCATCTGGAGGGCCAACAACAGGGCAGAGAGGCCGAGGCCTTCCCCTGAGAAGAACCTCAGAAGAGCTGTGCTGGGTCAGCCCAGTGGAGGGTCCATCTAATCCAGCCTCCTGTCTCACCCAGTGGCCAACCAGCTCCTCTGGGGGGTGAACAACTGTCAGAGAGGCCAAGGCTTTCCTCAGATGTTCTGGCTCTGGGATTCAGAGGTTTAGTGCCTCTGGATGTGGAGGTTCCCTTCAGGCACCATGGCTGGTGGCCATCGATAGACTTATCCTCCACGAATCTACCTAATCCCCTATTCAAGCTGTGTATTCCTGTGACCATCACGACATCCTCTAGCAGCCAACCATATTTTAATCGCTTTCTGTATCAAGTAGTGTTTTGTTTTGGAATTCACTTGTAATTCACTGCCACGGGAAGTGGTGGCAGCTACGAGCATGGACAGCTTCAAAAGGGAATTAGATAAGCATATGGAGCAGAGGTCCATCAGTGGCTATTAGCCACAAGGTATAGATAGGGGCTCTGGGGCAAGGGATGCTCTGTCTTCTTGGTGCTTGGGGGAGGGGGGTCAACAGTGGGAGGGCTTCTAGTGTCCTGGCCCCGCTGGTGGACCTCCTGATGGCACCTGGTATTTCTGACCACAGTGTGATACAGAGTGTTGGACTGGATGGGCCACTGGCCTGACCCAACATTGGCATCTCTTATGTTCTTATGTTCTTATGTTTTGTCTGTCCTGAACCTCCTGCCCATCAGCTTCATCGGATGCCCTGGAGCTCTGGTCTTTTAGGAGAGGGAGAAACCTTTCTCTTTGTCATGCAACGGTGCAAAAAGGGTGCTCGCAGGATCCAGCTGTGGATATACTGGGCAGAAGTGAACCTTTTACGGTCCCCTTCCTTTCCGTTCACACATTCATAAGTCAAACCAGGCCGAGGGCCGCCCCGCTGTCCGTGGGCTGTACTAATCCATGCAAATCCATGCAAATGGGACGCTCCCTTTGTTTCTGTCTGGGCCTCTTTCCCAGAAAGTCCCTCTGAAATCCAGTTTAATTAAGTCCAGCTGGTGTTGCTTTAGCAAGGGGGGCGGAGGGAAAGGAGAGGTGGAATGTGTGGGGGGGTGTTTGCTCCTACAATTCATCACTCTGTGGAAGGCCAGATCTGGGTTCACGTCTTTCTGCCCTATAAAACGGTTTGGGATTCCTGCCCCATCCCCCACCCCATCCCCCCTCGGTGCGGTGGGATTCCAGACATGCCGCAAACCGTCAGCAAAAAGGGGGCTGCTTCTTTTGATCAGAGCTGCGCCCGGAAAGGGGACAGGCCGCCCTTATCTGAAAGAGTCTCATGACAAACACGGTTCTTCTGGGCAAGCAGGATCAGACCATCTCTCACGCGTCGTCCACACACCCCAGCACAGAGAGGCAGATGCTTCACCTGTTGGATTCCTGCCACTTATATAGCTGTCAAAGGCAGCGTTTATAGTTCTCTAGCCTCTGGTTAGGTTGCTCCTGCCAACCTAGCAGTTCGAAAGCAAGAAATTGCAAGTAGAGAAATAGGGACCACTTCGGTGGGAAGGTAACAGCGTTCTGTGCGGCTTGGTGTTTAGTCATGCCGGCCACATGACCACGGAAACGTCTTCGGACAGCACTGGCTCTTCGGCTTGGAAACGGAGATGAGCACCGCAACCCTAGAGTCGGACTCGACTGGCTTTCGAGCAAGGGAACTTTTACCTTTACTTTAGCCTCTGGTTTCTGCTGTAAGATTCTATTATGACAAGCATGTTAAGAGATTCTCTCGCTTGTATTAGATCAAGGTGGGTAGCCGTGTTGGAAAGAAGGAGGAGGAGGAAGAGATTGGATTTATACCCCCGCCCTTCACTACCCGAAGGAGTCTCAGAGTGGCTTACAAACTCCTTTCCCTTCCACTCCCCACAACAGACACCCTGCGAGGTAGGTCAGGCTAAGAGAGCTCTTTCGAGGACTGCTCTTGAGAGGACGGCTCTGAAAGAACTTGTGACTGACCCAAGGTCATCCAGCAGCTGCAAGTGGAGGAGCGGGGGAATCAAACCCGGTTCTCCCAGGTTAGAGTCCATGCACTTAACCACCACACCAAACTGAAGAACCAATGGACTCTAACTTTGTTAATTTGTATTGTAACTCACTGTTGTATAGCTGGTTTCGCCTTTTTAGTGTAAACGATCTAAGACATCTTATTGTCCAATGCTAATGTAAACTTAAATGCTATTTCAATAAAGAAAATGAATAGATACATTTTTAAAAGCATAGAAACCCTGGCAAGAAAAAAAAAAGGTGGCAAACCCACCTAGAACAGGTATGTGTCTGAGATGGTGGGGAAATCAACAGCCATGGCGTTCTGCATTGCAAACGGGGTTGCCAGGAAGCCTGGAGAAAAATATCCTATCATTTTAAGGTAGAGGTTTCCCTTGCTCGAAAGCCAGTCGAATCTGACTCTAGGGTTGTGGTGCTCATCTCTGTTTCCAAGCCAAAGAGCCAGCGCTGTCCGAAGACATTTCCGTGGTCATGTGGCCGGCATGACTAAATGCCGAGGTGCACAGAATGCTGTTACCTTTCCACCGAAGTGGTACCTATTTATCTACTTGCAGTTTCTGGCTTTCGAACTGCTAGGTTGGCAGGAGCTGGGGCCAGAGACGGGGGCTCATGCCGTCATGCGGCACTCGGGTCTCGAACTGCTGAACTACAGACCCTCCAGTCTGCAGCTCAGCGTCTTAACCAATGTGTGGAAATAGGCAGCTGTCGATGGCACGGGGGTAAATAATATCACCTAACAAATAACAAGGAGAGGACTTTTCTTTCTCCAGGCCTCTTGGCAACCCTATAAGCCGGGACCTTCCGGGAGCCTTTTCCGCTCCCCAAACAACTCCAAGCTTCTCCCTCACCTGACATTCTGGAACGTCCTAGAAGAGTGATTTGTATATCTATTCCTGTGATGTATTTTTCTCCTGCCCGTTTTCCGGGGACCTCTTGTCCATGGTTCACCTCTCCTCCATTTTATCCACACAACAGCCCTGCCAGGTCGGTTAGGCTGAAGGAGAGGGAATGACTGGCACGGGGCCACTCAGCATGTTTTGTGGCAAACAGATTCATCCCACACCTTCCTACTCTTTAAAACTTAATTTATACCCCACCTTTGTCCCCAGTGAGGAACCAAAGCAGCTTACATCATTCTCCAGTTTGGCATAGTGGTTAGGAGGGCGGACTCTAATCAGGGAGAACCGGGTTTGAGTCCCCACTCCTCCACATGCACCTGCTGGCTAGGTGACCTTGGGTCAGTCATAAGTTATCTCGGAGCTGTTCTCTCAAGAGCTCTCTCAGCCCCACCTGCCTCACAGGCAGTGTTCCCTCTCAGCTGAGTTAGTGTGTGCAAGCTCGCAGTTTTTTAGCCTCCAGCTCACACATTTTTGTCTTAGCTCAGGAAGGACAGCTCCAGAGCAAACTGATTTATGTATGTTTAGCCTGGGAAAGAGAAGGCTTAGAGGGGACATGATTGCAGTCTTCAAGTATTTGAAGGGCTGTCATGTAGAAGATGGAGCGGATCTATCCTCTCTTGTTCCGGATTGCAAGACTAGATCTAATGGGTGGAAATTACAAGGGAGTCGTTACTGGCTAAGGAGCTGCGGTGGCTCAAGTGGTTAAGACGCTGAACTGCAGGCTGTGGAAGGTCAATACTTCAGCAGTTCGAGACCCGAGTTGCCGCATGATGGAGTGAGCTCCCATCTCTAGTTCCAGCTCCTGCCAACCTAGCAGTTCGAAAGCAAGACATTGCAAGTAGATAAATAGGTACCACTTCAGTGGGAAGGTAACAGCGTTCCGTGCGCCTTGGTGTTTAGTCATGCCGGCCACATGACCACGGAAACGTCTTCGGACAGCGCTGGCTCTTCGGCTTGGAAATGGAGTTGAACACCGCAACCCTAGAGTCGGATTCAACTGGCTTTCGATCAAGGGAAACCTTTGCCTTTACCTTACGTTACTGGCTAAATATCAGGAGAAACTTCTTAACTGTAAGAGTGGTTGAGCAGTGGAACAGACTGCCTCGGGAGGTGGTGGGTGCTCCTTCGCTGGACGTTTTCAAGCGGAGGCTGGGCGACCATCTTTCGGGTATGTTGTAGGGCTCTTTTTTGGCTATGCTCC